GGACAAAAGCCGTGATCGAGAGGTGTCTACTCTGTCACCAGACGCGCCACTTTGAAGCGCTGCTAAGTGCCTCCGTGGGGTAAATAATTTTTGATTTTATATGAGTCCTGAGTTTGTCAAAAGCTTGGACATCTAAAAAGGCGCCAGAACAATAGAGTTTCTTCTCCAGCGCTTGACGATGACCTTTAATATTCTGTAAGTTAACTGCATAACTGTTCTATATAATTAGAGACTATACTGTGACGTTCAAAAGCATAATATTCTTTTTAACAATGATATCTAATGTATTAGTTACCACGTAGACTGTATTATGCTCAAATACTAAATAAGCCGGTAACAAGAATTGTACCTCAGCTCTGGGTTAATGACCCCTTCTCGATCAGGTTTTTCGGTACAGTTTCCCATAATCTTGGGAAAATGCTGAGATGGACCTTTGTTTTTCTACTGGACATAAACGTGGCTTCACTATCTGTGTATGTTTTCTTGAACTCTTTCGGGAATGTTTATATTCGAATAACCGTTTTCCATTTTATCGCGGCAGTAAGTCGATTCCTTTACGTAAAGAGCTAGGGATATTAGCCTACATCTGTAGCTGATTTGCCCTTGCAAATCGTTTTATTATATGAAAGTGAATACCTTCATATCAATTCTTGCCAAAACCGCTCGTTACTAAATGTATTCATAATTCTACTTAATGTAATAGAACAGACATCCCAGAGCTCAAGAAATCTAGCACACATTGAACTTCTCCTCATAGTACGTCAGACAGTTTATAATTGTTTGTGACACGAAATAAATGGTTGGGTCCAACCCTTTAGATCAGAGCAACCTTTTGAAGCTGGTACCGGTGTGTCTGCAACACACATGTGCCAGGATAAGTCTCTTCTCAAAACCAATGAGTATCGCGCTCATCCACGATGAAGTAAAAATCCTATCTAGGCAACCCGGGCAATTATACTTGCGCGGCTCTAAATTCCCAACTCATTACTGCGCCCACCTTGACAATAACGACGTAACACTGGGAATCTGATCAGCCGGGTGGAACACATGGGTTCATACCCCTAATTCCGCCCGCGGGATTATAGACGGACAGACAGACATTAAAAACCTTTTTGAATCTGGGATTCCCAACCCTTGCATTCCCGTCAAATTTCAATATTTGTTTGCAGGAAACATCGTTTCGCAGCATTACAAAACTTTCCCTATTCCGTGCATTATACAAGAAGGAAAAAGGACCGTCACTTTTGTGATACCTCAAACCTCGATCAGACTTACAGACAACACTCAAGAACCAATATCAGTTACACAAATTTTCAAAGGTTACTCAAAGAACAAACAAGACCACCAGAACAAGTCGAATACTTCACTACCATCATCTTTAGTAGACTGAACGCATGAAATATCTAAGGAATCTAAGAGCAATCAATACTAATAGAACGAGTTCAATATTTCATTGTCATTGATATTTTGAGATGGATGAACAAGTGAGCGGATGGTGTAGGCCTACCACTTTTACTTGTGGACAGCCTCCTTGAAAACTGATTTTTCAAAAAAACAACAACTAGCGGTCTGCAGCAGAAAAATTCTGAGGAAACCACACAAAATGGTTTTCCAATTAGTATGCGCACTGCACAAGAACAAAACTCTTGGAGCCTTGACATATGACTTCAGCTGTCATAAGTAGTAACGAGCAGAGAGTTAGAATTCAGTAGGTACGTGCAGTAGGCGAAATATCAAAGAAACATTTTTATTTTTCAGTAAAAACCGTTGATGTCTTGTTTTGTAATTTTCCGTAATATAGAGTTCTTGAGTATCTATCGAAATCCTACACTCCCACACGAAATCCTACACTCTCATAGAAATGACAACAAAACACCATGATAATTCACAACACAGATTTTTAAGAAATAAATCACAACTATACGTCAGAAACATAACAATGCGTTGCCACTTGAATTTGGAAGATGACCTCTCGCGTCTAAGCGTCCATGCAATACCAACTACAGTACCTTACGCAGTCGTGGCAAGCAGCGAAGATCTCTGCGCTCAGCAGCAAAACGCGTCTGTGTTCGCAAGGAAGCCTGAGAGGACGGCGACCCGGACCCTCTGGTGATGCAGCGGATGTGCGTCGCGAAAGGAGTCGTCGCGGCGCCTGGGATCCCCCGTCCCGGACTGTGAAGCCTGTATGCCGAGGGCGGTGGCTGCTGGTTGGCCGGAGAGGCAGTGACTCTACGTCCGCGGTAATGGCGGCGCCTCGTACGGGAATGCGGCGTCTCTTTGTTCACGAAGGCTGCAGCTGGGTAGCCGGGAAAGTGGCCGGTCGCCATTGGCGGATACGCAGACTGCGCAACTGGGAGTGCGGCGACACATTCTCCCGGTATGTGATGCTGGTATGCCGAGGGCGGTGGCTGTGACCAGGATTACAGCGGCTTGGCACCGAGGCACGATCTTTTGCAACAGGTTCGTACATGGTTGTTGTAAACCTTTGAGTGAGATGTGTATTTGTTTTGTGCTACGTACTGTATGGCCGTTATTCAACTGTCTCTATTTATCCTTCCATACTTTAAAACAATGATTGCGCATACAGGAAACTTAACGTGTATATGATCCTCGTCATGGGGAAGAAAAATTATCAAATCCAGCGTTTTGTACTGTAAAGAGAAATTTTATACGAGAAAATTACTATTTTCCGGAATATTCTTTCCTAACATTATTTGTGAGTGTAGACGTTACGTGTGTATCTATATATCTATGTATGTATGGGGTATGTAGCCTGGGTTGCCCACACTCGGGTGACAATGCAGCAGACGGCGTACCCCAGCGAGCGATGTATGTCACCAACAACTGCCACTTTTATTTTGTTAGCCGACTCATACCGTCAAGTGCAATTACTCGGGAACAAGCAGAGGCGCCCTGTAAAACTTTTTTGAGAGGACTAGATATTTAAAACGCCGCGGCTTTCTTAAATCGCCCCCTGTATCAAAGGAAACTACTGCAACGCAATTGTAGGAGGCTACAAGTGCTTGGCGCACAGCGGTGCAAAGTAAAATCGTATTTTTTGCAAGAAAAACCGGACGGCGAGGTGGGACTTTGGCACCGCCATCTGCCCGTGGTAACAGACAAACTCTCGGGGCTTCTCCCGCTGCTTTCGGAGACGGCTCGTGCTCTTCTGGCACACTGGTGTCTGCGAGACGAAGCTACTACACAATTCAGCAGTAAGTACATTATTGGTGGTTGTTAGTCGTGTCACCGCAGGCAACGTTTCCCCGCCTTGAAATGCGTGCAAGACAAAAAAAGAACCGGATGAATTAATCCCAATATGGCATGCTATGTTATTGAGGGAGATATTAATGTCGCAAGCATGCTATGTTATTGTGAAAGATAATTATACTCATAGCCTCTGTTAATATCAATGTTTGCAAAATCGACATACGTTGAGTCATTACAAAGAGAATTATTTGAACTGACTCACCATGTTATTTGCATGCTCATATTTACAATCATAATCATTGTAACTTAAATAAAATGTATTGTGCTTAAGTTCTAATTGTTTTTATTGGGCATGTAATCCCCACATTCATCCTGCACCCAGCAGGCGTGGAAAGAGGCATCCACAAACAACCTGTTTTGTTTTTGTATACCTCATAATACGAACAATAAAAAATGCAGGTAACGTTTTGGTCTCAGAAAAGGAAACTCGCTGATATGTTTTCTCCTGAAAGGTCAATCTAACTCAGTGAGTTAGCAAACTGGTCTAAGCCAATGCTGAAAACAGAGGATCTGCTTAAAAAGCTGAAGAAGAACAAGCACAAACAATGCTGAAAACAGAGGACCTGCTTAAAAGCTGATGCAGAACAAGTACAAAAAATAAATATTAGATATTAGTAATCCGCAATGAGCTTCAGAAAGATATTCTCGTTTCCAAAACTGTGTTTCAGACCCTTGTTATTGTCGCCTGATTTAAGGTTCGCATGACATTGGCACCGGAGTTGTTTTGCAGGTTTCGGATGAATTATTATGTAGGTTTGGAGTGATGAATTGAAGGCTGACATACACATAAAGTTGCTAGGGCTAACGATGTTAATTATGAACTTGCAAAAGAGAAGATAAGCAAAATAATAATTCCTTATTTCTCTCCAAGACCGCAGAGAAGATGTAAACAAAACTCACAATATGCCACTCCACTGAAACTTGCTATCATCTGCCTATCAGTGCTCCATAGATATCCCCGGAGTAGAACACAGTGGTGTACAGAACCATGCAACGCCGGCAGATTACTGAAGTCTAGTAGTGCTCAAAAGGGCCTGATCAAGGCAAAAACATTCTTAGTCTATTTGCTATTTGGAAAAACGTACACCCAGTGAAAAAAGCTGCGGAGACGCAACGCCGGCAGCAGCCAATGCTAGCCAAGAGGCTACTCCCCCTTTCCTATTGGACAGTGAGTCCGAGCGCGTCAACACCACCGTGTGAGCGGCGCTATCCTAAGTGAAGCCGTAGGCGTTGGCTCACACCTTGCTTCGGTCTACTACATAACAGAATAGCTGCGGCGCTACAGCAAAATGCAGTTAGGTCAGATCCGGGGTTCGAGTACTACGAGAACTGTCGCCAGGTGATAAAGAGGCAATATATACGAGTCGACCCAGACTTCGATCGGATTTGATATTACCACGCAAGAACCTGGGAATTCGTCGTTGGAAGTTACATTGCTATTTGCCTGGTACATTATTTCTGGATTGCTGAATTAACTCTTGATCGATTGAATGCTTGCTGATTGCCCCCCACATTTAATTCCGCAACTCATCAACCTCAATAACCTGGTAACGATCCGAAAGTCGCGATTTTCATATTGAGATATACCAGAGATGTATTCATATTTCACATCATTTCAAACATTTTGGTTGACGTAATTGTCAATAAAAGGGGTCTAACTACCCACTTTGCAAAAGCATTACACAATTCGCCACTGAATCAAAATATGAATGTTTGTCGGCGGTACTCACTTGAGACTATCGTCGATAACATCCAACCTTACTTTTGAAGTAGCATACATAATTGCAAGTAGACATGTTTGGTAACTTACAAGGATGTTTGCAGCTTTTAAGTACATAAAGCGCTATAGTTGCATGAATTCTATATTAAGGATAAACTGCGAAAGGTTATGTATCCCGGCCTTTTCGACAATCAGCAATCCTTCACCCATGTCGGTTTGTTCATATCTGCTCGATTGGCGGATAAAGAATTGCGAGAACGAAGAGACGGCATCACTTGAGCGATGTAGTAGTGAGGATGCTTTGTAAATTACCTTAACTGTACGCCTATGGTGTAGTCTCTCAATGTTTTCAATAGTTAATACTTGTTTGTTAGAAGCCAACACTTACAATGAAGATAAATGTTTCCATCCTCACTTGCACGACACCAAGAAGTTCTCAGGCGATTGCCTCTTGCTCTGCCAAGCACATTAAATTGCATGGAGATATTGAAGATATTTAATACAGGTCATATCCCAATTGCAGTTTGATGGTACACGTAAGGGACAAAATACGAAAATAAAAGTTTGGCAGTGTTTTTGCAGCTTCGCGCTCAATGCCGTTATGCTTCACTCGGCGCTGACTCAGTGCAGCGGCTATTTCCCTAGCGGGAAACGCCCGCATGCGATTATGCAAGACCAGCTGGCGGACACAAAAATGTAGACATGTGTTTTCAAACCTTTTCTTGGCTGTTGTCTCGTGGCAAATGTTGGTCAATTATGTCGTCGTTTCAGAATTTTTTCGTCCGACAAGAACACAGCAAGGCGATGCACAAAACTTCTCTCGTCTCAGTTTCTGCAAATGCTCCCCCAATCTAAGCAATATTTCACAGCCTCAACAATGGGTCTGAGACAAACCCGAGTTAATAAGTTGTTCTGATGTGTTGTAGAAAAAATGTATTTCTAAGCATAGTTGTAATTTATATGAGGTTATAGAGTGACGGTAGTCCTCCAGTTTAAGGGGCACTTTGAAACGTATTCACATTCTTTCTTTCTTCACAATAGTAGTTTGTGCAATTAGTTTATAATGTTAAGTTTTCAAATTTGTACGAATGTAATAAAGCAACATTATACAGTTGCATACTATATTTTTTTGTATAACAGCATTATACATTTAAAAGAGAATCAAACTTAATTTTGCGAAACAACTTCCTTGTGACGACTCGGGTATTTGCGGTATTTGACATCGTGCGAGTAAACGGTGGTCTACTGTTCTGTTTAGCTCTACCTCTTCCCGATTCTCTCCCTACGATTGGCTGAATGTATGATGACGCAATCATTCGTGCCAAAATCTAATATAACATTTTTTGTGCCGTAAAATGCTCTTTTATAATGGTTCAGTTTTAAGGTTAAAAGGTTCTTTTATAATGCTGGAGTACAAAAAACAGTGTTTTGTGTTTATAAATATCATAAGCATTACATAAATTGCCAGCTCAAATGCCTTTTAAAAGATGGCAGATTTTATCGAAACGTCAATGGTTAGATTCGGCGTTGAGGAGAACCGAAGATAATCTAAAATCTCTCAGATCTTAGCAGACCAAACTTCCTATGAAAAGCCAGACCAGATGCTGGCCTCCTTGTGGCATGGAGGACGAGAAATCTTGAGAAACATTTTAAAAGTGGTACATTGACAATTTTCAACGGTAACGAATCAAAAATAACACGATGGTGTACAAGATGCAATTATTAAAATAAATGCCTCACAAATCTGTTTCAATGTGTTGTAACGAGGTCAAAACTTTGGTATCTGGCTGCATTTAAAATTCCCGCTTATGTTGTGATGCAAACTGGTGTCTGTATCTCATTGTCTGAAGTGGGATACGATGCGCAAGGGCCACCCTCCCTCCCTTACTGAACAGAGTCGAGGAGTGCAATGTCTCGAATTCTATTCAAACACGCTTCGTGATCATTCCTTTCGTACGGAAGGGTGCGAATGGCAGGAATTGTGTTTAACATAGTTTTCACATAGGTCCGCTAGTAGTTCAGGGAACAATCCGTAATTTTGATGATTCATCCTACAATGTTGAACCTGTTTTTCACAGCTATGATTCAATATTATTCAGCTTCTCTGTGGCAATAGAACATAAATGCGAAGAAAAGAAAACCACCCATCATTGAAAAGGAATCAAGTACAAGGCCAAACCCATTCCCCACTTCCTAATATAATTTATAAAGGAAAATCACTCATTACAGTACTATTTCAATTTTCCTAAGCTATCAAAAACCTTCAAATAAACCAAGAGAAATAAGAAAATAGCAATCAACTCTTATGTAACAAGCATTTAAGATTACAAGTATTAGTAGATGTTTTTAATAATTTTTATTATAGTTAGTCAGATGTTTAATATGTTATGCATACTTTCATGCATTTTTGTCAATGACTAAACATGAATGAGTCTTTTTAAAGTTCTGTCAAGTTAAGAAACTGAAGAATGAAGACCTGACATAAAGTAAGTATTATTATAAGGCACAAATGATGCAATGTTACTTTTTTTAATCATATGTATGGAGAGAATAGTGGTCACAAAACTATAAGAATAACATGATTATTCATAACACATTTTTACTTGCTCACATTGTTAGCCATTACAATGGCAAGGCTTATAATACTGCATGACAAATTGCTCAGTATTGAATATACACACACGTGCACACACTCCTTTTACACCTGATACTTATATCTCAAATCTAAATCTAAAAAGAAAGCACAAACAAAAACAAACCTTGTGCCAAGGTCCATCCGATATTTTCCTTAATGCTTTATCAACAACTCCCTGGAGCCAACAAAGGACTTTATGTTGCATAACAAATCCACTACCATTTACCCACTTCTTAACAGTATCACTGTAACAAGAAAAATATGAGACACCGAGTGGCTCATTACGGCATATTTGATGTAAAGTACAACAATAATAATATCACACAAAATACACTAGCAATATTTTACTATGTCATTTGTTCAATTTACCCAAATATATGTTTTATCTGGACAAAACCAGGATACTCATTGGTGTAATGAACCTGAAAAAACTGAGAAAGGATAGTTGAGTAAGAGAAACACTCGGTACAATGGAAGGAATCTATATTTCAACTATACCTAATTTACTATACAACTTTTTTTTATCATTACTCTTTATTCTCTACATTAGTTTTTAAAAAGAATGATTAAATACTCGCATATTAATTTATGAATGGGCTGATAATACCTTCTGCTACATGACTTTTGATGGGTAAAATGATGTTTTTATTTTCAAATCATACAATTAAGTTTTATTTATAATAACCGAATAAGAGTATTCATACTTCATCGATTTCAGTTACCTTAATTGGAATTCTTTAAATTTTTCATTCTCTGTTGTAGTCAATATTGCCAAATCAGCGGGATTCCCGCAAAGTTTTGCGGTTTTTCATAATAGTCAGCAGGGGGGATAGTTTTAGAGGTTAGCGGGAAATGTAATCATAAATTTGTGAACAAATTTTAAACATAAATTATAATTATATATTTTTTCCGTAATTATTTTTTTTAAATAGGCGACAATTTTTGCACATGCCTAAGTTGCGTGTTCGCGTGACAAAGTTGTTAACCCGCGTGTTTCTAGGAACGATGAAAAACTTTTTTTTTTCTCCAGATATTAAGGTACTGTATAGTATATAGTTCACAGTTTTATAAGTCAGGCATGACTCTGTGAATTTATTCTACTTTTATTTACTTTTTAAAGGAGATAAGACAAAATAAAAAAGAAAATACTATAAATAAACATGAAATCATATTTTACTTACCTTTTGAGATCCCTTTTGAGATCTTAGTTCCAAATTGAGATCAAATTCATTAGGTTCAGAAATTCGTAAATTTTCGTAGTAACTTCCTGAGTAATGAAGTCTTTGAAATAAATTCCTGAAATCCTCATCTACTTCTTTCATGGCAGGAAGTAAACGAGATTCCAATAGCTGTAGCAGGAGAGTTACTTAGAGATTTATTATTTTATTAAAACTTTCTTAGGCTGCCTCGCAAAAAATGAACCTTACCTCTGAGAGTTGAGCATTGACCAGTTTCCTTCTGTCTTCATTTAGCGACATACTATTGGATATCTTGTGTATTGATGGATCAAGTCTATTGTAATTCTTGGGGTCCATTTTTGCAGCAAGTTTTCCTAAATGAATAAAAAAAAGTGCATCTGTGAGCTACCACATTTCGATGTTTGATTTCCTCAGAATGTCTCAGAATAAACTTTTAGGGTACGTGGGAGGTAGTCAAAGATTATGGTTTCTTTAATGAACATGTGCTGGAATATTTCGTACACATGTGGCATTTGCCCTCGATTGGAAGACAACCGACCATGCTTTGGTGTTTGGCAGGTCACGTTCTGCAGCAGAGATTTCGTACACCCTTTTTGATACTCTACTGTTCGGAATGAGCGCACCACAGTCGGTCGAGCTGATGTTTCGGCCATAATTTCAGAGCTCTACTGTTGGCATGCAGATCTAAAGAAGGCCACAACATGATGATGGCCGATAAGTCACCTCGACCGTCTGTTACGAGGCTCATAACAGACAGCCAAGTATCAAATGACTCCGGCCTCGGAAGCCTTCGAATCCATTTCGTATTCCCGCCAAACACCAATGCGTATGGATTACCAACGATTTCGAGGCACACGTCACATGTGTAACTTGGTTTATTGAAATGCCTCACCACATAACATCAGCAAAATTATTCACGGAAATTCCTCACGTGATCACAAATAAACTTAAACACTTGATTATCCATTTTTTCCTCAACCTGTAGCTTTCTACTCTCATTCTTCATTTATATAAATTATATCGTCTATATTGCCCTCTTTTGTTGCTTTCTTATATGTTCCTTATAAACTTGTGGGATGATTTTCACACAACCTAGGACAATCCATCGCAATATAATATCCTTAAAAGAAATTAGATAATTCAGGCTTTATTGGGCAAAAATTACAAATTACAAAATTAAAAATATAAAACTAGTGGTGCTGACAAAGGACATACTTTCTCGCACTTTTTCTAAAAGCTCCGCAACATTACACTACTTCATAATCAGCGTAAGTGTTGCCAAGCAGCTAATCATTTTACCGCTCCGCGGCTCGAACTCACATTCTCAGAGTTAACGCGCTGGCACTCACACCACTACGCCACAGGAGCGGCGCATGGGACGAACTCGGGCAAAGGTATAAAAAGGTAAATGCCCGATTCATGTAAAAAAACTTCAGCAATCAAAATATCCGTTAGAACCTCCCGAAGCCTGCAGTCCGTTAAGATCAATCGCGGCATATCAATTTTCAAGAAAATCAGCTGAACGGTTTAGCATTAACCACAGACAGACAAACGGACAGACGATCATTTTGCCGTCAATCGATTTTTCGGTTTGAAAACTAACAAAACATGGATTCTGGCTACACCACGCGTTAAAGAACTTTTTTCCCAAATTTAGCAACAGGATTTGTCTACTTTTTCATTACCAGAACCCGGCAATAAGCTTTATTTTGACGAAAACTCGGCGTTTTCTGGTACACAATTACATACCTTCTCTTCTTACGAAGAATTCGTTAGGCGAGAAAGTAATAATAATTTGAGAACCATTAGGGATATCTAAGTTGATCACATGGCTGGTGTTCATGATGTATTTAAATTTCATGACCATAGATATATTACTTACTTAAAACGGTTCATACAGATGCACAGAAACTCAACAATTGATTTGACGTGACATACATTTTACAAATCGCTAGAGAAAGTTGAACAAAAGGTTTAAAAAATACAAATTGCAAAAGCACGTACAGGAACATCCGGTTTATTTGTATATGTGATGATTGCATTTGTGGGTATAAATACTTCAAATGATTTTCAATAAAGTTTCTCGAATCCCTAATAGTTTTCTACAACACTTTCATTAAATTAAAACCTCCGTGTGGGACCTCTTGGTTTTAAATGATTAACTCGGACATGCCACTTACTCAAGACACAAATGTTTCAGTTCTATCATTACGGAGTAGAGAAAATTAAAAAAACAAAACAAAGAGGTTTAAAGTTGCAAATTCGAAAATCACATACAAACTTCAAATTTATCTTAATTGATTGTATTTGTTAGTAGAAGTGCTTCAAATTATTTTTAATTAAGTTTCTGTAATTTTCAATAGATTTCTGCGGCAACATAGAATTTTGACAAATAACTATCCCAGGGCGGTCCTGATCGAACAAGCCGACCTTGCCTCCGAAGCACTGAGACAATTCACATTATTTAACCAACCTCGGCCACCGGGGTCGTACTCCTATAATAGCCAAAAGAACTTCGTGTTTCAATTGTGTTAGGCGGCGGAAAAATTAACAAAATGAAACATAAATGTTCTTTGGACAGAAAAAGATTGCAGCTCAGAAGGTATAACTCGACACGGTATTTTTGCAGGTTAAAAGCAACACAGAATTGTGACAAATAATTATCCTTGACCCAGCTTCCAAACAGCGGCCCTTCTCCACGAAAAGCTTAGACCGGACTCGACATTTAACCACTTCTCATGTTTATGCCATCTCTTATAATACATAAGGCACTATCCCTACCAAAAGTTAAAAGAAAACATTTGAAGTCGTTTTCGAGAAAATATTTTTTGGTATTTTATTTATTGCACATATTGCACGCAATAATGATCGAAAACTACAAACATTTTCAAAAAAATGTACGTGACCTTAATAAAAGAATTAATTATGGTCAACAAATTGCATTTGAAGGAAAACTCTCAATCTTCAATGTAGGGAGTTAGTATAGTTGTAGGAAGTCGCCGGAAAAAAATTCAAACTTTTGCAATTTTCTAAAATTCAGAGTTAACAGTGAAAAACGGACTTTTGTCACCTTCGTGAGAGTATTTTACACTATTCTTTCAAATATTTAAAGAAAAATTTTGAGCCTTTTTTGAGAAAATTTTGAACATTTTCCTGAGACTTTATGTAAAGTATCTCCAAATTTTAAAGAGTGGTTTTCAAAATCGCAGTGCTTCGAGTCGAGTCAAAACAGACGAGGAATATCCATTTTTGAAAAACATCTTGTGTGTAGTGTAGGCCAGGGGTGTCCAACTTACAAGACCTCGAGGATAACAACTAAACCTTTAATATGGTTGTGGGCCATATTTTCATTATTCGGGCGATGCCCACGTGCCCCCGTATTGTTGATCTCGGCAGCTTTCTCAACTGCTCTGAAAAGGGGGAAGGGGGAATGCGACTATGCGTGATATCAGGCCGTACTATGCACAAAGCAGTGAAACACATTTGCATGATTTTGGATATCTGAATGTACTAGAAAAAAATCCTTAAATCTAAACTTCGCCTATTTTTGCATGAACGGCGTGTTGACCTCGACAAGGCCCATGTACTACGCGCGCAATATTCTCGCCCGACATAGATTCAAAGCATATTCACGTTTGACTAACAACCTGTCGCGAACCACGATAAATGTCACCGCGGGCCATCATTTGGACAGCACTGTTTTAAGTGATAGTAATGTTCAGACACACGGACGGACGTTGTGAAAAAAAACAACACTTTTTCAGTATCAGAGGGCCCCAAAACGTGTACTTCTGTTGAAATTTTGAAATCGATTTTCCGAAGCATTACATAACTTTCTCTCTACTACGTGCATATACGAATTAATAATTGAAATTGAATAGACCGGCATAATTGAAATTAATAAGACCGGCATCGTTCTCCTAAGCCCTTTACGCTATCCGACAACAAAATTAATCAAAAGATTTTGACCTATGTTTTGAAGAAGAAAAAAAACAGTCTTCTTGTAAAATACTACCCCAAATTAAAATATAGGTTTCAAATTCGAAGCGCCGTGACATCAGCCAGATTAGAGGACATCAATTGGGGAGAAAAATCGGCTGAACTGTTTAGACGCTAATATTGATCGTGGATAGATAGACACGTTTTGCCGTTATTCGATTTTTCGGTTTCAAGGATCCAGAAAAGATGGATTCACCCCGTGTTAGAGGAAGTCATCGTCTCCTATATTATTTCAGTTGTATACACACCTTTTGTAGCTCTCACACGCAACCGATATTTATAATTGGCGTCTCTAAAGAAAGAGAATTTCACGAAGACGTGACTAGTTTCACTTTTAGTTTAAAAATATGAAGGGTTTCTTTAAAAAAGCATCTAAATATTCATCTCAAATGCAACCCGCAGTACTCAGTCAGCTGTGTCGTTAAATAACTCAACAAATCCAGGAAAGATAAATAATATTGCAGAGTTGTGTTGTACTTGCCCGATTCTGTATTTTTGCATGGAAAATCTTACTTGGCTTCCTCAACAGTGAAAACCTTTTTTTAATAGTTTTGTGACTCAAATTAAGCAAAAACCTAACTGTCAAGGAAGATTGAATAATTACTACAAAAGTTGTTTTTAAGGAAGTGTGAATTGATCGAAGAACATAAATATCTATAATACTGAATAAACCTTTTTGAAAATTTGTTTCCAACGTCAAATGCTTTGTTTTTATTTTTGTTTGATATTGTGTAAGTACGAAGTTATATTTATACATTTTTAAACAAATAAACTTTCATTACTTTCCTTCTTTAAAAAAGGATAGGTAAATGGTGAGGATTAACATGCGAGACTTCTTGCATAGGAATACTAGTTTACTTTAATACAGGAAAAAGATTTATTCACTATTTCGTCACCGGCGCCCGGCAATGAGTTTTTGTGTCGAAAATTCGTTTTTCGGCGCACGATTACCATACTTTATCTTCTTACATAAGGGCGAGAAAACAAAAAAATCTATGAAAAATCAGAATTGGTGTTTGAGACTTGTTCGTTCCAGATTCAGTGCTAAAACAGTAAAAATTATTTTTGTTATTTTTCAATACAATTAAGGCTCATTCATAATGCAAACGTAAGCATAAGCATAGCGCATAGACATTAACATAAGTATAGACTGAAGTATTCACAATGCCAAACATAAAAGGAACAAAATAAGTTTCTATTGGCTGTGAGACATTCTGGTTGAATGTGAGAATCGATTTCAACATATCGACTGTGTCCATGTCCCATATGACATTAGTTCTATCGACTTCGTTCCAATTTCGATTTTCGATTTTGAGTTACCGTTCCTCCTCCATGGGACACCGCCTTAAAGTGGCACTGTCCGTGCGGGCGAGGAGGTCTGCGTACTTCGATGAAGCTGAGGGCTATGACAGGGGTAGCATTGCTAGGAGGCTAGTGCCGCTACCGGTAGGGTCACCCGTGCTATACAGACCTCAGTGGAGGAGTCAGACGAAGGGTGTTCCACAATGTCCTTCTCTACCTTGTCCTATACCTTATCCTGTTACCCATATTTGACCTATATCCATTTCCTAGAATATACCCCCCACAATTCACACTGGTGTATCTTGAGGTCCTAGGATGGCATTGCTTCTACTTACTCGTGCCACACTTATTTTATACTTTGTATCTCTCTTGATATCCTCTTGTTTGTTTCGGTCCCGAAGCGATTAGGTTGCGAAAGCCTAGGGAGCCTTTCATTTTTCCATCTTCTTTCTTTTACTATCATATGTGTCCATTATCAACGGGGAGAGAGGCTTTGTTTAAGCCGCGGTGAAGGCCACCTCTCTACGACAAGGGAAGCCGGAAGATAAGTCCCCTGGTCCTCCAGGTTAGGGGTTAAGCGTATGGGCCAGCAACCCTACATTGTAGAAACCGAAACGCTACGTTAGCTGAAATAAATACAGCCTCGGAAACAATAAATGAACATCGACAATGGCTACGAAGAAGGACTTTTTCTTTTGGAACATGGAATGTGCAGAGCCTTTCAGGGAAACTGGAGGAGATTGTTGAGGACATTAAAAATAAGGGATTGGAAGTGGTTGTTCTTACGGAAACGAAAAAGAAAGGGAGAGGACAAGAGGAAATTAAGGGATATTCACTATGGAGAGGAGTAGAAAAGGGAGAGAGAGCAAGGGCAGGAGTCTCTTTATTAGTAAAGAAGAAGTGAAAAAATAGGATTCAAAATTGGGAAGCGGTAAATGAAAGATAAATAAGAATAAAAATTAAAATATGTGAAATTACCCTTGTAGTTATTGGAGTATATGCCCCTACAGATGACTCCCTGACTATGAATAAGAATGAATTTTTTGAAGATCTAATAGAGGTGATGAATAGTGCCTCTATAACAGATAAACTTATAATTATGGGAGATCTAAATGGGCGCATTGGAAATAAAGAGGAAGATGGGGTAATGGGTAAATGGGGAGAAACGATGATAAATGACAATGGAAATCGATTAATAGAATTCTGTAAAGGGCAGAATTGTTCCATTATGAATTCTTATTTTTGCCACAAGAAATTCATAAGTTTACTTGGAAACAGAGGAGGAAAAGAATAAAATCTATAATAGATTATGTTATGGTTTAACAAAGTAGAAAGATAATAGTTCAAGACATCAGAGTATTTAGAGGATCTGAATGCGGTACAGAACATCACCTTCTTATTACTAAAATAGCATTCCCAAGGATAACATCACAAAAATATATGTCATTTACACAAGAATAAACAAAAATTAATGAACCGAGATATATGCTTAGTCTATTGCAAGATGAAAGTGTTAGGGATCTCTATCAGAGACGTCTTGCAACTAAATTAGATATATATGATGATTGGAGAGCTCAAGATCTCTATGGTCATATGAAGACATGGGTACATGAGACAGCTGCTGAAACTTTTGGTATAGAAATGGATAGTAAGGAAAGAGTGGAATGGATGAATGGAGAAGCCGCTGCGGTAATTAAGGATAAGAAGGAAGCTTATGGGATCTGGCTGAATTCTAAGCGTTATGAAGATTTAGACATGTATTACTTACTAAAAAAGAAAACCAAAAAGATTGTGAGGCAATGTAAAGAGGCTTGGGAAAGGGTATGTTATGGGATAGAAAATACAGTGGGATACGGTAAAACAAGACAAGCTTGGAGAACCACAAGAAGAATAAGAGCGCCGAATGTGAATAAAGTAAGTTTGAATATGATTACATTATTGGAATGGAAGAAGCATTTTTCTGAGATGCTGACGGAAAATAGATTTCAGTGGAAACAACTGGGAACGAATACTAGAAATATAAAGCGAGGCATGAAAGAGGTAGAACCTATACTTGAGGAAGAAGTATGGAAAGCCATAAAATATTCACAAAATGGTTAAGCGGCGGGACCGGGTGGAATTCCCATGGATTTGTGGAAGTATAGTGGAGAGAAGACGATTAGAGTATTGACCAAACTCTATCATCAGTGAGGAGTCATCATCTATTGATCAGACTCTTCAATCAGATATTTATGGACGATTTACCAACTGAATGGAATCTATCATATATTTCGGCTATTCACAAGTAAGAAAGATATGGACAATTATCGGGATATAAGTGTAATAGCATCAATTGGAAGACTATTGAGCAATATAGTGAAGAATAGATTGGAGGCTAAGGTGTCCATGAAAATCTCAGAACAACAATCTGGTTTTACAGAAGGGAAGTCCTGTATAGATATTTTTTTTATATTACGACAAATGTGTGAGAAAATGAGTCGGAAGGAAAGAGAGCTTCATCTGTTTTTATTGACCTGGAGAAAGCATATGACTCAGTGCCTAGACATGAATTGTGGAGGGCACTACGAAATTTTAAAATTGAAGAGTCGCTCTTTCAAATCATAAAGAAAATGTATGTGGATACCCGAGCCGTGGTAAAAATCGGAAATATAATTTCTGAGGAATTTAAAACTACTAAAGGTTTAAGGCAGGGATGTGGAATGTCTCCTACTCTTTTTAAAATTTATTTAGAAGAGGTCCTTAAAGGTTGGAATGCTTCATGTCAAGGAATGGGCGTTGTTGAAAACGGACCAGCAATACATTCACTACTATTTGCGGATGATCTGGTAATAATATCTCAAGGTAGAGATGATGCAGAATATATGACCCGGAAAATAGTAGAGGTGTATGTACAGAGTGGGCTTAAATTAAATCAGAAAAAAACAGAGTATCTGATACTAGGAGGACTGGTTTGGAAGTACAAGGAGTAAGAAGGATTACGTTAATTGAACAGTTCAAATATTTGGGTACAATCCTTCATACGTCTGGAAATTGTGAAAAGGATATTGATGACCGCATTAAACAGGCAAGAGGAGCTATAAGAATGCTGAATGTGGTACTATGGAGTCGGGAAATTCATGTAAGAACAAAAAAGGTTATTGTACGAATTATTATTGAAAGTATTCTAACCTATGGTGGAGAGAGTTGGGTCTTGATGGAACGCCAGAAACATATATTATGTGCAGTAGAAATGGATGGATTAAGAAGGAGCTGCCGAATTTCTACAATGGAAAAAAATAGAAACGTAGAAATTCGGAAACTGATGCAGCAATCGGAATCGGTGGTGGACAAATTAGAAAGTAAAATGCTACAATGGTATGGCCACCTGAGAAGAATGTCAGATACAAGGTGGCCCAAGAATGTCCTCGACTGGTCTCCTCCAGGAAGGAAAAAACGAGGAAGGCCTCGCAAAACCTGGAATACCGGAGTTATGGAAGCCATGCGTGAAAGAAGAATGGACGAAGACCTTTGGTCGGATAGAGAAGGCTGGAACTGCAAAATAAGAGGCAACCGCTGACAAGTGGAAACGTATATAAAAGTAAAAAGGAAGAGCAAACGTTCTGTGACTGGTTCATTTCCTATGTCTTACGTAAGCATAAGCAGAGAAGCTTGCAAGCTAACGTCTTACGTGTTATGCGTATGCGAACACATTGTGAATGAATCCGCTTATGGACATAGTCCTAACTTTTGTGTTAACGCCGTGCTTATGTTTGTTTGCATTGTGAATGGGCCTTTACTTTGGTTTGAATTTGTCTTCGAGAAAATATCAAATGTTTTATAATATTTTTTCTTATTTATCGAATTGTTTTTAAAAATTAAAAACGTTAAGTCAACAAAACATTTAATTAAGAACCATTTTGGCTATAATGCGTGGAAGTTGGAGAAAGGTGCTAAAAAACTTACAAAAAATGTCTATGTTAGTAATAGTGGAACTACTCATAGTACGTCTTTTGATTTTTTACCATTTTCTGAGGATAATCTTTATGCAGTGCCACAGGGAGTTGCATCAATGATCACAATTCTGGATTTGTTTCAAAATAAGTCACACGTCATGTCGTTTGCATAGTTTTTATATCTAATTCTATATTGATTATAATACTTACTATATATTTTATATGACGACATCCTTACCTGTATATATCAGATGATCAGTAGATGACAGAAAGCCAGTCTCGAGTTCGAAACTGTAGTGGAAACAAAGAACGAACTACAATTGCAATCGTTTGCTTCTTCTCAGCAGAGCAGAATGACGACTGTGATTCCCCCTTCTCCCCCACCAGCTGCGCACACGAAGGTAATCGCAGAACGTTGGAATGCGCGAATTCAATGTTTCAATTTATCGAGCGAAATAAAAAATCGAATTTCTAATATAAATTTAGTAAATGTCACATTTGAATGAATTTGAATTTCTTTATCAGTCTATTTAAAAAGTTTGTATTAAAAGGCAAATCAAACAATTGCATTTATTTCGTAGTTCAGATATATTTTGATGAGCGATGACGCAACACACCCGAGTAGCATTGCCACTTATATCATAATGTAGGATAAAGATCAATCGAAAACCAATATTTCTTATTTTAATTTTCCGCAAATGTTGATTATATTTGGAAAGTACTTTAGCCTCTTTTGAAGAATTAACTTCTAATGGAATTAAATTAGTCACTGACTCGATGACAAAATCTATGAAGAAACAAGCTTGCCACGCAAATGTCACATGCCCACAAAAATGAGATACGCCTACTTATCTTTTAACTGATACGACGATCGTTTCAGTATTTTGTCTTCAGAAAAACAATGGACCTTTTGCCAGGCTCGTTCTGCGAATTTTGTGCCAGAGGAAGGGGCTCATAAAAACGCTTATCGCGAGTCTATTAATCATTATCGTACGTTGCAGTGCCGTATGTTCGGATTAAGGAATAAATTCAGGCGACTCTCAAGGAACGCTGTTCCATCCATTGTAGAAAAAGCAAGCTTCGAAATTTTAAGTTGACCTATATTTAGATAATACACATTATTTATAGAGAGAGTGTTAAGAAGATTCAATTGTAAAATGCAATACAGCATATTACAAATTTTCTGTAGTCTCTGCATAGAGTAGAGATATTGTATCTCTCCTCTATGAGTCTCTGGGCGTAAGTTGGTAAGTGCATTTTAAGTGTAGAGACTTACCAACTTATGCCCAGCCACCACAGATTTGATATGCAGACTTAGAAGACTGATAATAAACGTAGAAACAAATACTCATGATACAAACAGAAAAGAAGGGGCAAGAGGCATCCCACTGCAGTTATGTAGGAAAGGTGAACTTTTTTTTTTTCAATGGTGTCGATTTGCACAAAATCGGGACGGGTGGCAACCCTAACTGTCAAGAACCCTTTTTAACCTGAATTTAACCTGTTTCATTTTCAGCAATGTTTTCTCGAGGTTCAAACGGGAGTTGAGCAAGTCGAGTAGATGGATATTATAATTAGATATAGCTGAATTCATCGGTGTATTAAGCGGTCTTGATAGCGTACTGAAGAGTAGCAGATATTTGTGTGCAATTTTCTTAGATTTTTATGACTGCAACTGAGTTGTCATTTGAGGTTGTGAGTTTTTTATTTTAATTATTCAGTTTCCAGAATCTGATATATTCGGTACGAATTACTTTCTGTCTGCCTTTCCTAGGAATCAAGAAAATTAACATCAAAATGGCTGGGACAGAGCATGTTGATCCAGTGAGAGAAGAAAGGGCTGGGAAAGTTAGAGAAGTTGGATCACAAGCCATTTGGAGCCTATCATCGTGTAAACCAGGTATTTTTATCTATGTCTTGGTCTCTAGTCAAAGGTTGATGTTTCAGTACATGGACTGAACTCCCCTTTCCCTCTTCTAGGATTTGGAGTAGACCAATTACGAGATGATTGCATGGATACATATTGGCAATCTGACGGACAGTTGCCTCATTTGGTTAATATCCAATTCCGACGGAAAACTACTGTTAGTGACATATATATATTTACTGACTACAAGTTGGACGAAAGCTACACTCCTAGTAGGCAAGTGAATACATCAATTGTTTCCACTAACATTATAAAACAACTAACGTAAGGATGTGTATTATTATTTTGATTTGAATTTTTAGTGTGTAGATAAGATAATCAAAGGAATACAGCCTTTATTTTAATCATTAAAGATGGGCATTTCAGGAATTGGTTTTTCTCCTATTAAGAGGTCTTTAAATTGTGTTAATGTAATTAACTGTGTCTCTATTCTGTATTTTCATTTAAATGTTAAGTACTTGCAACTAATTTTATATAATGCGGAGAATAACTGTAGGTTACTGAGATAGTAAACATCTTGGGAGTAGCAATTACTTTAATGCAACATGAACCATATGAAAGACTAGAGGTGAACACATCTTTCTTGTTCATTCATTTTATATTTTTTAAAACAAAACTTTTTTTAAATGTAATTGATGAAACAAATTATTAATCTTTCACAAGCTTCCTTGAATTTTCTGGAAAGCTCTTAAAGATTTCAATTTTTTATTCCCTCCCTCCCCTTCCCTTCTGAAACAAGTAACATGGGTACTCTAAATAGGAATAATCCAATGACTTATTTTGCTGTTATTGTTGATATTGACCAGGTTTTAACCCTATGCAAGGTGATAAACGAATGCCCTTTGAATAAAGCTTTGACAATATCATCAATGTCTTAATTTTATTTTTGTAATATGATAAAACAAATGGTGTTTCTGTTTTTAATTTAATACTCTTCTTCTTCTTCTTCTTCGACGGTTTCTACCCCTTAGAGTTTGCCGTTTTCGGTTTCCATAATTCTCGGTCCTCCCACTGACCCTCTTCCAATTCTTTCTCCTCCATTACTTCATGTATATATGTCTTAAGTCATGTATATAAGGTTGACATCTCCTAAATCATTAATCATTATGAATTACAACAATATCTCTGCTGCCACGATGAATAGACAACAATGAGATGATGTTGATTTTGAACAATTCATTAAATAATTAACGTATTGGAAACTTTATTTATGATTAGTTTTTGTTTTTGTAATGTTACTATTGTTGATGTGAAGTCCATCTTTACTCTTTTGTCACTTATTTTGTAAGCCTTTTGAAGATATTGAAAGCAAAAGTAGCTGCTGGGTTCATCAATCTGACAAGAGTAGGGTCCAGTGAAGAGTGCTTGTTAAAATACAAGCATTTGTGTTGTTCCAAAAATAAGTTGGTGTCCAACTTAACATGTATTCCTGTTCCTATATTTGTTATTAAGTGTTCCAATACCATAGTTATAGTATATTTTAAATGTTTCAGGATATCAATTCGTGCTGGAACACATTTCAATGATTTGCAAGAAGTTGAAGTTATCGACTTGAATGAACCTACTGGATGGGTTCATATTCCAATTAAGGACATTCATGAAAAACCAATTAGAACATTTATGATTCAAATTGCAGTAATCAGCAATCATCAGAACGGGAGAGACACACATATGAGACAAATAAAGATACATTCTCCCATGATGAGTAGAGGTGTTGGTGTGGGTGACTTAGGAAATTTTGTTACTGTGGAATTTCAGCAGTACAGTTGTGTCAGATGAGTTGCCGCATTGTACTGATTATTCAAGTTTCCCCCTATTAGTTTGGGAGAAATAATGGGTGCATTGACAATTGGAGCCTTGTTCCACTTAAATATTAAATTTTTATATTTATTAAAATGACTATTCTTTTTTTAAGAAAAATAAAACAATTCTTTATACAGTTAAGTGAGGCACTTTCATTGGTTTTAAAATCAGTCCATGTACCATGTCACTATCTTGGCAAACCTTGTCACCAGTGGCATATTCCTTCCCAATTTTGGCCGATGGGTAGATGATGCAGGGCGCATGCAAGATACGACCTGTCGGCAATTCCCTGACTTGACTACACAGCGGCCCCTAGAGGGTACTTAATAACAGGTTTACTTTAGGGCGCTAAAAAATTAATTAAAAAAAATATTTAGAGGGACTGAGAAGGTCCTTAATGCCAAGGAATAATAACGAAACTGTATTGCAATTCACTTGGAAAGGCATTTACTTATAGTAAATGTGCCAATGTTAGAAAAACTTTTATTTTATCATTTACACTCAGTTACGCAAAACAATGAGGACCCCAGGTTAAATAGCATTTTTGGATATCGCCAGAAGACTACTCCCCTCTGCATTTATCACCTACAGTTTTTACTATCTCCAAAGGTTTTCTTGAGCTCTGGAATTGGAATCTTTCCTTTCTACTGTACATAATTTAATTTTGAATAAATGTGAGTATTGTTATCAAAATGTGATCAAAAGTATTTGCTCCCAGGTAGTGATAACTAATTGCTCCAACAAAAAGCTACAGATTTGATTTGGTACTATTGATGCTAATTAAATTACAATCCCCACTCCTCTCATTCTAGCAAAAGAGCAGATAGTGAAGTTATGGATATTGTCCAGCAATGCCCCATCTTAGCTGCATTTGCTCAATGGAAGATAAACTGGATGATGAACTAAAATAGCTGTCCTTCACCCATCTGGGTACAATAATTGTTACAAATATTTTCAGTGATTTACAATTATACAGTATAAAAACTAATAATAATGAAAATAAAAATTTTCATTTGACTTGCCATTTGAACTTATGAAACAGTATTTAATGTCATCCATGTTTTTAAGTAACATACATGTATTAATATACGTAGTTTGGGCTGTTGAGCTTGCTGCAAGGCACTCAAAATTATGTGAATTTCAATGGCGGTGAAAACACGTGTGGGAATTTTCTATCAGATACGCTATCATTTTAGATGAAAATATTTTGCAAAATTTTACTTGTCAAATATAAGAACAATCTATGCAAAGTGTTCAGTTGATAAACATCTTAAACCCACAGCTGCTCCAGTTTTCTGCTCTTCATTAATACTGCATTGTCATATACTTCATCCAAAATAAAGAAAACTTTATTACAAAGTTATCAATAGTTAAATACTACTTAATAATTGAAATTATTTAAAAATTATCAATTAAATAATCTGCTTACAGATTATTTCATTGGAAGAAATTCCTAAAACTTTCTCAGAGTAGAATTGACACATTTTTGCACTCAATTTTTAGACTTCTAAAAAACAAAGTGTTAAATCTTTTCTACAAAAAATTATGGAGTTCTCAGAAAACCCAAATTTCATTAACCGCAGAAAGAACATGAAACAAACCACATGATTGAGGATCTACAAATCCCATGCCAAACTTTTGTTTGTATAAGTTCAAAATAAAAAAATACATTTTTTCTCTACCACCTTTCAGGAAGTCAGTTTTGATGAAAAAACTGTTTAGTAAATGAAGAGTTGAATTTGTTCAAGCTGAGAGTTTGCTTATTGTACAAAGTTTCCATCTGTAATCTAAATAATTTGGATACCATTGAAGTGTTATGAAAAATTGCATTTGCAACATATACAAAAATCTTGTGAAGACATCAGTCCTTTTCTTACATTAACCCGGATGTAGTTCCATATGCTTGACAACTTAAAATTGATCACATTTAAACAGCAACCGACAGACACTTGAGCAAATTCTTTTACTATCATGAATATAAATGTGAGAGGGCACGGAACAAATATTTCACAATTTTCTTTTATAAAAATATTTTTATTTACTCAACCGTAATAAGACTTTTGTGGTGCATGGTACATGTCTAATTGTCAATGAAATTCTAGTCCCTCGGACCAGTTCTTGGTTATTTTCATACTGGCTCTGACACAGTTGCAAATTTTTTATTTTGTTACTTAGGATATCTCTGCTTACTTCTGCTATAGAGTGAAGGTAATTATCATACACTTCATCCTGAATAACAACAAGACTACGTCGCTCCAAGAACAAAGAAAAACCATCTTCTTGATGTGTACTGGAGGCATCCTTTAAACAACAATCCATTAACAAATTACTTACGATATCAAGCACAGACAACAACAGTTTTTTTAATACTCACATTCTTTTCTGCATCACTTCTAACGCGTTTTGAGAAATCTAATACAGTGTGTGATCCACAGGAAATGGTTGTAATTGTTGGGTGAAATAAGGGCCCATCAGTATGAGGCTGTACATATAAGATGTGAAACTAAAATCTGCATATCCTTAATGAAATAAATAACATAAAATAAAGGCTGGTAATTACCATGATACCTTGAGCTGGTTGGTACTCATTGATCAATACATGATTAGGCATTTTCCCAGGAGCAAAAATCCCCAATTGTCCAATTTGATTCATGTGTGTTTGAAGCCACTAATAAAATAAATGGTTATCAATTAATGATTTAATGCACACTTCTTTCAAATAAAAAAATTAATTTATGGTTCCAATAATTGGCATGATGTAGTTTGCATTTCTACAGGACTTATTTACTTGTGTGACATAAAAACAAATTTAATTTATCTCACAAGTGGTATTTTCTCTGCAACCATTCCTTTTGGATGGGGAATTCCTCCCCAGTTTTGTAACCTCCGATTTGACAATTGAGTCCATTTTGGTTTGGGAACTGAATTCACATTTTTAATTATCATTTCCTCCTCTGTCTCGCTGATGAAATTCGAGATATAAAAGACAGTAGGCGGGGCCTGAAAATAACCCTTTAGTGTCATTTTCAAGATTCATAGGTTATTTAATACAAATTATCTCTTGCTACCAACCACAACGAAACTGATCAGTTAAATTTCAATGTTAAATTTTGACCAGAACAATGACCTACAGCCTTACTCGCGTCAGAAAAAAACCTAAGACTAACCTGTTTCACTACAAATTTATCGAGAGACATCGGACGAATTGTCAACTCACAATTTCGCCACGTGAAAATTATTTATATATTTGCAGAAATGCAAATAAAAACTCGCCGAAATAATCCCTTGGTCAGCTTATGCGTGCAGCAGTCTCAGAAAACCTCAAGCTTAAAGTTATGCGAAGTTACAGGCATGGTCAGAAATGTATTATGACATAGTACTATCTATGTCATAGATTTTATGATAAGACCAAGACAAGACAAACAAAATCACGTATGAGAAGGATGCATGCTCGTCCGGCATTTCTTATCCATGATGTGTGTATAAGTGTGACATTTATAATGATGTATGTAACACAAACATACACTCCGAATAAAACGTAGTACGAATAGAATGATGAAGAATGACGTCACAACGGTTGGCGGGAAATTGTTGGGTGGCAAGCTGTGGGGTGCGCCAAAGCGTTTCTCACAGAATTAGTTTTGGTCTGTATTTGGCTGTTGCCGAGGTTTATATTTCTTATCTTATTTGTTATTTACAACTAGCTGGTACCTGGTACGTTGGCGGCGCAGAAGAAATAATTGTGGAAATATCGTCTGAAATTTGAGTGTTGTCTTTTTTTTTCTTATTTAAGTTATATTATGTATTTTTTCCCTCTACCTCACTTTTTCCTTCTCTCTCCCTCTTTTGTCTTCTTTTCCCTCCCTCTCTTTTTCTTCCCACTCTCTCTCTTTTGCACTCTCTCCCATCCCAGCGACACCCAGCAACAATGAAGTTCAGGTGTATTGGGAACTGCATTTAAATGAAGAGTTATATTGAGCAGCAGAACCATCTAGCGGAGTTACAATAATGATTGTACTATGTCTTTATCCTTCCTGCAAGTACAATAAATTAGTTGACACAATTTTATCGCAGTGGGATGAACGATACGGCTGCACATTAAAAACAAATCGACAAATATTATTTTTTATATTTCACATTCTTTATTCAACAAATTAAATACAATGATTAATATCTTGCAGAGAAAATGAAACACACAATTGCAAATACATACAGAGATGATTATCGAATCATAATAGTTAATTTACTGACGGCCTGTTTCACCGGTGCCTGATTGTCTATCCAGAAGTTATCTTACTGATATGTTGAAAATTTGTGTTTTACGAGTGCCTGATAAATATACCCAGTGGTTAAAGTATCCTGTTGGAGAGGTGTTAGTATCAGTAATTTAGATCAATATATCCGAAGGTTGGAAAAGATCGTTCTCTACACAGACGGTTGGGTTTAAGTCGACACTGCGAATCTCCACAATCGTGCACCCGTGACTGCTCAAAAGACACCACATCCAGACGCAACTCAAAACAAATTTAGTTTTTAGATAGTGAAATAGATTTTCCTCGCCTTCCTGATCCTCACAATTCTTCTCTACCATCGACAAATACATGGACCAACCAACGCAAACAAGCTAGGAATCGCGTCTGATCCACTTGAAAACCATAGAGTAAAGATATATCTCTCCTCTATGTAAAAAACAAGTACTTATTTTCGCTGACAGACATGGCCGCCATCTTTCCTCCATTCTCAGTATGAAGTTATCCTCCAACTATTTTTTTTTCGGTTTAGCCGTAGGTTTGTGTGATTTGTAGTAGTGTTGCAGTTCGCATTTTACTGCTATTTGTGAGTGGCTGTTGTGGGTTCGCGGCGGACCTTGGTCAATTACCAAATCGGCTTTTGTGCTGCACTACGCTCTCAGAATATCAGAGGAGAGTGCTTGTCTTCTTTGTCCTATAGTGAGGACGTGTCGAGCTAATTGTAGTCTTGCCGGAGCTTCGCTGGTTTGAAAGGCTTGATTGGCTTCGTTAAACGAAAGCCGTTTCAAGTGTTGAGTGAAGGACTCGATAAGGCCCTTCCTCAATAGTTACAACCGTTTCTGAAACGGTGGGCGTGCTATGAGTCGTAAAACTTTGTTATGTACTAGCTCAAGTGTATCCTTGTACTTCTGCGCCGTGGTCCACCGCGTTGCCACAGCATATGTGGCCACAGGCCGGCAACAAGTTTTATAGAGTGCTAAGCGAAGTTCCAAGGTGAGTGTAGGTTCTCTCAAAGAAGATTGTAAGAGTCGAACTCTGCTGTAATTTTGATCGAATTTGCTTGACATGTAAATGCCAGCGCATCCTTCGATCAAATGTGACGTTGTAAGTTGCCTTAGACACCCATGTCAATATTTGTGTGACTAGTGTAATTTGTTTTGGTGGTGTAAAACGTTTATGTACCTTTACGTTAGAAATAATATCGATTGTACCTCCTTGACGGAATTGAATGTGTATTCCATTGAAAATATTTTTGAAATATCTGTAGTACATCTTCCTACGCTAAAAATTATAAAACTTTGCATCTACAGGCCTTCAAGAAAGAGAGCAGTACATTATATTATATTCTTTAAAAAACTGGAGATAACATTTAACAATGTAAGCAATCGCTCTTTCCAAATCATTGTTGTGTGTGGAGATAACATTGACTTTCTGTTCGAACCTTGCGAGATAGAGCAGTTTCTTAACGTAATTCATTCCTTCAGTTTAGCTATTACAATAAATGCCCCTATCCGGATCACACTAAATTAAAAGAAGGCTAGCGACCAAATAATAATTAACAAAACCACTACCCAATTTTAAATTGAAACAAAAGACTTACGATACAGTGATCACGATGCACAAATTCTTACCATTATGATAATTGCGAACACTGACACATATAATAATACACGTACGAGTAGATTGTTAACTAAATGTAATATAAAATTATTCATCAATTATTTGCTGCAAGAGACATGGGAATCATGGGCAATCAATTATTTTTTTCCTCAACACTTTCATTTAATTTTAACACTCTTCAAAAAATAAAATTAAATATTTCACGGAAAGCAATTCTTGGATAATACAAGAGATTAGGACATTGTGTAAATACACATGATTTTTTCTTTCATTTCTAACCATCATGACGTACCTCAAGGTTTCCACATCTGCTTTTAAAAAGACATAATTCACCGAATGATACACTAGAAAAATTTCATAAAGATATCGATGAGCTTGAGGCTAGCTTGAAAACGTCTAAGCGCGAGGTATTAGTGGTAGGTGATTTCAACGGTAAGTCGTCCGAATGGGGAGAGACGCGCTCCGATAGAAGAGGAACTATCATATGTGAATTCATTGCAAGAAATGATCTGATCATCTTAAATACTGGGGATGAGTACACCTTTCAACGTGGAGCCGCATCATCTATTTTGGAACTGATAATAAGCTCCACCAAGCTATCTAAAGTCATCACTGATTGGTCAGTGCTTGACGAAGAAACCCTGAGTGACCATAGGATATTCGACTCCGTTAACGGAGGGGCTGCAACATGTCAAAACGCGATATAAAGGAAGACCACCTTGGAATCCCCCCCCCCAAAAAAACTGAATGAAGACAAGGCAAAACGCTCCTTGGAAGAATCCAGGTTGCTGGTTAACATGGGTTGGACGAAAGAGGCGGAAACGCTTGAGGATATGGTCAAGGCAACGGAGGAAACAGTAGTAGCAGCTTGCGACGCATCCATGCCTACACGTGTATGTCCGAAGCGGAAACAGCAAATGTATTGGTGAACACCAGAAATAGCCGAACTACGAAGGAACTGTAACACGGCAAGAAGAATAACGACAGGGGCCAAGACGAATCTGCACCACAAGGAACAGTATAAAGAACTGTCCGAACAGCTTAAGAGAGAAATAAAAAGAAGTAAAGGCAGATGCTGGAAAGAGCTCTTAGAACAGATAGATAACGACCCATGGGGCATGGCTTATAAAATAGTAAATAAGAAATTCAGGATGGACTGGAAGATACCTGGATTGAATGACCCACAATGGATGAGGAAAGCTATCAGGGTCCTCTTTCCCACTAGAGATCCTTGGACGAGACAAAGACAGAGCGACTTCACGGTTGACGCAGCAGATTACTTCACGATAGATGAACTGAGGAGAGCGGCGAAGCATGATAACTGGAAAGGCCCCAGTTTTCGATGGAATTCCCTGTGAAATACTAAAAATCGTGGCACAGGAGTATCCGGAATCCTTTTGTCAATCTATAATCGCTGCCTTGAGGATCGGAAATTCTCCAAGATGTAGAAGAGACAAAAGCTGATACTCCTACGAAAGGGCAACAAGCCGGTAGATCAGACGTCATCATACAGACCACTGTGCCTCCTTGACACCATGGGCAAGCTGCTTTAGGGTTTAATACTCTCTAGGCTTTAGGGACTCACATGCTTTTCTCACAGGCAATATGGATTCTGGAGAGGCCGCTAGACGACAGATGCCATCCTGGAAGTAATCGTTAAAGCAGACGCAGCCTGAAGAGGAGTCGGTAAGAAGAAGGGATTCTGCGCGCTTGTGGCAATTGACATTAGAAACACCTTCAACTACGCTAGGTGGAAGTACATTATAGAAGTGTTAGTTAACAAGATGATTCCGTAATATCTCATAAGATTTATTGAAGACTACCTCCATGAAAGGGCGATTACTTTTGTGGACAATATGAGGATAAAAGAGAATGTGACGTGCGATGTTCCTCAAGGGTCTAGACTCGGGCCATTTTTATGGAATGTCCTGAATGATGGCATTTTAAGCATTGTCCTGCCGAAAGATACGCAGCTCATAGGCTACGCTGACGATACACTAATAAGCCACAGCGTTGACATTGAACTCCTAGAATTGAGAGTGAACAAAGCGCTGTTTAGGATTAAAAGATGGTTAGATAGACGACATTTGCAGATGGCAGTGCAAAAAACCGAAGCTGTCGTAATCAACGACCGGAGGGCCGTTCACTACCCAGATCTCCGACTGGGAGGGAAGAGAATCAACTGGAAGCGCCAAATAAGATATTTACGAGTCGAAGTAGACCATAGACTCAGCTTTGGGCCTCACATAAATGTGATGGCAGAGAAGGCGGCGAGGACAGGAGCTAACATCGCAAGAATGCTACCGAGCGTCGGTGGACTGAGATACGCCAAGAGAAGAATGCTATCTGGCAGAGTTCACTCACAGTTGTTGTATGCTGCTCCAGTTTAGGCGTGTTCGCCAGAGAAGCTGTCTATCAGACACAAGTATGCCTAAGTGTTGGCTGGGCTATCCGGGACGAGCCGCGTCAATGTCATGGTGGCTAACGTTTCGGCCAGCGTATTGTGGCCTTCTTCGTCCCTCGTCTGTGGTGTATTTTAGCGAGGACGGCCTGGATCCATGTCCTCTACTGTCCTAGGTTTTGTTTCTTCTAAATTTTTGATTGGCCAGCTGCCTCCCGTTCCCCAGAAGGCTGGGGTTGGGTAGGACTAGGATTGTTTAGGATTGTGACGGCTTTTTTCGTTTGAGGTTGTTGGGGTTGGTAGTGAATAGGTGTGAAAAGGAGTATGCATTTAGGGGGGTTTGAGGATGTTGGAATTATTGGGAGGGGGGATTTTAGAGGGGTTATTTTGTTGAGGGT